TTACTGTTGTTATTTTATTATTGCTTTAGTTTGGATATAGAATGCCCTCCTTTCCCATGTTTTGCTTTTGTGCGCAGTTATTTCTGTCATGTCCACAAATAGGATTGATTTATTATATTTTGCAACATCCTTGAAAAAGAGCAAGGAAAAAAATATTTAAGGGTATACTCTAGTTATACAAGAAAATGTAGCATCGAAACACATACAGGTGCATGCAACCTTTTCAGTTCATTTGTTCTTCATCTATCTAGTGCATGTATTCAACAGGTCCACCGTGCTAAACACACTGTTAAGGGTTACCTTGCAGTACAGAGGCTGTGTAGATCTTAATGAGCATGATCTTAATATGTAAGATCTTAATATGCATACCCATCTTCGCTATGCAACCCTTTCATCATTCAAACATAAATTATTCACCCTGTGATCTTATCTGCCCTGGCACCCTGATCACCCCGTGATCTTATCTGCAGTCTCCTGAACGAATAAGAGAAAGGTTGCACAGCCCTAGATGAGTGACAAGAAGCTGCAGTTCAGCCAAAATACTTTTTTGAAGTTCTGCTTAATCTGCAGACAACATATTATGGGAGATCTATATGAAAACAGAAGGTAAAATGATACAACTTTCTTTGTTAAGTCTGTATGCGTGCCCCTAGCATGCACAGAAGCCAATGCTTGCACTGTCATTAGACAGCAGAGAGCAGAAGCTTCAGGGCTCATTCACACCAGATGCAGTGCGTTGCGGCCCGATTCTGGCCAGAACGCACTGTCTCGCATTGGGGCCGGCTCACTTTTTTGTGGGGCAGGAGGGGGCGTGACGGGCCATTGAAGTTAATGGCACCGTAGCCACACCCTCCAGCAGCAATGCGATCAGCCACACGGGATCGCAAGGCACATTATGCCTGCCGTCCAGTCCAGTGCGATAAAAATGCTGCAAGCACTATGTTGATCGCACCGGACCGGGCCGCAGGCATAATGTGTTTTGCAATCCCGGGCAGCTGATCGCATTGCGGCCGAAGGGATAGCTACGGTGCCATTCACTTCAATGGCCCGTCACGCCCCCTCCTGCCCCACAAAAAAGTGGGCCGGCCGGATTGCAATGCAGTGCGTTGTGGCTAGAATCGTGCCGGGACGCACTGGATCTGGTGTGAACGAGGTATCAGGCACAGAGCCGACTTGACCAGCTCTGTACCTTGTGATCGCTGTGACTGGTTATCACATGGCAATGTTTACATTGCCAAGCCCTCCCCTTCTTCTTACAAAAGAGGCAAGATAGAGTTTAGGAACTAATGAATGAATGAATGAGTCATCCATTTAATACTTTGTAGTCAAAACCAGCAGGAGCAGAAAAAGAAAGTTTAAAAAAAAATTATATTTAACCCTTTCACCAATTTTCCTGTATATTTCAGCTTCATTCAATCTCTGCTCTGAGCTGTATATTAACCCCTTCACCTGCCTTGTCCTGTATATCTGTACATTAACCCCTTTGTCCCCATCATCCCAATGTATGTGACCTGTACATTAACCCCCTGTACATTTAATATTTCTAGTGTATCATTACCAAGCTTCATGTTTTAAACCCCTCAAAAACAGCATTCCAAAAAATTGTGGCAAAAAATTATGAGCTTGGGGTGTCTACTTTCCAAAAAGAGTCACTTCAGGGGTTTCCATACTGTCCTGGCATTTATATTTGTTTTAACAGAAAGTAACTGAAAGGTTTTGTTCTGTTTTTCTGTCTCAAAAAAAATAATATAAAATTAATTTGGGTACAGTGTTGCATGATGGAGTAATTGTGAATCAAACTTTCACAGCTCTGAAAACTGAAAAATTATCTGGTAATTAAGGGGGTTTAACATGCCAGTACTGAAGTGGTTAAAGAAAGTGTATAGGAGATAAAAAGCATAAAAACAAATAATATCCAATAATGTAATCTACAGTGTGATACCTTTTTTTAATAATGGGATGTACAGGCTAAGCTGTTCTGGTAGACAAACTTTTTCTGTGCGGTAGAAAGATAAGCAAATAAAAATAAAAACTGTTTGTTAAATCCTAGGCTTTCCACCTGCTGGATACATTTGGGCTAATTTGTGGAGGTTTTGCTTTGTTTGTGCTCAGCATGTATTTTGGAAAATTATGTTGAAACAAATGGCATAAAACTGCTGGATAAAATTGCTGCTAACTCACAATAATACATGTATTCCCAGTCCTACTTATCTTGGCTCAGAGATGACTCATTCTGTAAGAAGTATGAACATTACTGATGTTTTTTAAACTAAATAAACTACATATAACGAGTTACTGTGTAATATTATTTCAAAGGCATGGGTGCTTGAATTATCCACATGTGACATTTAGGAAGATGTTATTTTAGGGCTCGTTCACACCATCTGTGTTCCTGCTGCACAGGCCATTTTTTCCAGCACAGCCTGAATGCACGACATGGCAAATTGCTTTGTCAAGGGGTGTGACAGTTCAAACCACTACGTTCTAGTGGTGTGTGCTTACAAATATTACAGCATGCAGTACTTTTTTTAAGCGCACAGGTGTGAGATGCGTATAACCACATCGCACCACGGTGAGTCCATAGAACTTAATGAAATGTCACTTCTGACATTTCGATAAAGTTCTAACAAAATAAGAAACAATGCAATAAGGTTGAATTGAGCGCATCGGCACTGCTTGGGCACACACACACCAGTGCCTCTGTAGTAAAACCATCCCAATTCAGACTTCTTTCTGATTGCTAGTAAGGGAAAGATCAAGAAGTAGCAGGAGAGCTGAAAAAAGAACAGATCCATTGAATAAAAGAACAAGAAGCAGAGAGATGCTTGCACTGCAGGTCCTCAGCTTCCTCTCCTGCAGGCCCACAGCAGATCAATGGGCAGCAGTGAAGTGACATCTCCATGCTCCACTCTAATCTCATGAAAATAGCAGTAATCAGAGGTAAGAGCAGGCAAGATTTGCTTTGGGTGAACTCACAATGGAGATGAGCAGTTACAAGGGTACAGGAACAGTAGTGGCTAGTCATGATCACATTTTGTAATTCAAGCAATTTTTTTTATCAAGACCAGGGGTAGGCAAACTTGGGCCCTCCTGTGGTGAAACTACAAAACCCATCATGCATCTGTCACTGGGAGTCAGGCTTGTTGCTGCCAGAGTCTTGTAATGCCTCATGGGATTTGTAGTTTCACCACAGCTGGAGAAATTAAGTTTTCTAACCTCTGATCTAGACCATACGAGATTGCACACAGGTATAACCTCCTCCAAACTAATCCATTGTAGCCTACTCTACATACAGCAGGATAGACACTTAGTGGAAATGATGCCCTCCAACGGTTACACTGCAGTGTCCTCTCAGATTAAGCTGGATTGCACAGTTAAATGTATGGCCTCTTCCAAAGGATGTCATTCTGAACACTACCAAGTCAGATGTCTTAGCATTCTATTTACTTTTGGTTGTTCCGGAATCCTGTTCCTCCTGTGATCTTTCACCCAGCCATGCTAGTCCTCAGTGCTGACTTGCCCTAAGCTTGATTGTTCTGTTCTCACCTAGAATCCTGATGAACTGTATAGTTGTATACTGTTCAGTCTTACACATTTGTTATATTGCTGTCATTGCCATATTTAATACCTGTTTTGCATTACAATATTATATGTTCTATGGTTATGTCTTACCTGCTCACTAGTAAGGTAAACTCCCAGTTATCTGGTGTTCAACTAACCAGAATTCTCATCTCAGAAATAAAAATCCCCTGTGTACTCACTGTTTTGCTGATCTGCGGCATGTATTATCTTGGAAATTATAGTGTGTCTATTTGTCTTAGTTTGCTTTCGAATACTGCATTTCAATATTAATATGAAGTCAATACAGAGTTTATGTTATGATATGGTATAGTATGGGGTATGTCATTAGTTAGACCTATTTTTAATAATAACTCTCAAGCAACCAGAAACTACATTTATCTGGAATCTACCAATCCCTGTGGATGCCAGATAATGGGGAGTTTACTGTATTTACAGCAATGTTTTTAGTTTTAAAAAATACTATGGGGTCTGTTCACAAAGCAGCCGAAGGATCTAGCCGTAGCTTCGGCCCCAGGACTGCTGTGCGGGCTATTCCCTATAGCCCGTACAGCTCCCGAAGTTGGCCGAGCGGCTCAGTCGAGCCAAAGGCATATACCTCAGCTCGACTGAGCCGCACTGAAAGCCGAAGCTGGCCGAATGGCCAGCCGACAGCCTGCTTCTGACAGCTGGGCGGAGCCAGCCGTAATCTTACGGCTGGTTTCGGCCACTTGCAGAGAGATCAGCGTTCCTGGTTACCAGGTAACCAGGGACACTGATCTCCAGACAGCCCAACTCTCCTGGGCGCTCCGGGAGTCTCCCGCTATTAGATAGCGGCTCCCGGCCGCCCGGGAGAGAAACACTTTCTAAAGGAAAGTTTTGCTCTGCTCGATCGAGCAGAGTAAACCTTTCCCTGCTTCATAAAAAATTTTTTTATGATACGGCTGGCTCCGGCCACTTGCAGAGAGCTCTCCAGACAGTCTTACTCTCCCGGGCGCTCCGGGAGTCTCCCGCTCCCGGCCGCCCAGGAGAGAAACACTGCTTTTTCTTTTTTATTCTGACATCGAGCCGTTGGCTGCCGTCAGAATAAAAAAAAAAAAGATTGAATAGACCGAACAGCGGCGAGTAGCCTGCCGGAGGTTCGGCTTAGCCGATCCAGATGTTGATGATGGATCGGCTGAGTCGAAATCCTTCTGCACTTCGGGTCGCCCGAACATGTTGAGCATGTTCGGCCGACCCGAAGCCACACAAAGCCACCTTATGTATATATATATATATATATACACACATTTCTCTGTATGTGTCATAGACTGCCCATACTGACAGACTATCTACTTCTAGTCCACCGTATGGTAGCAGACAAATATTTAGGTGACATTAATGTTTATAGAACTGTCAGTGCAAACATCATATTAGTTATGTACATGGCCATCTGTTCTTACCTGTACACATGCTCTTCTCATCCATGTCATATTTATGAGTTGCGTGCTCAGGGATCTGTCGAGAATGGAGGTTGTCTTTCCCTTCTTTGCGGTCTGTTTCTAAAGTGAAAAACCCATTCAGACCTTGGTATTTTGACGTTTGATTATTTTCTCTAAGAACAACTTCATGAAATTCCTAAGACACAAGAAGAACTCAAGTCATTGCCAAGAATACTAAAAATAAAAAAAAGCAAAAAACATTTTTCTCTGCAATACTTATCTTTAATCCAGCACTGCCTCCCCACAAGGTCCAGTTGAAAAAAAAAAGCAGGGGAGGGCTCTTTTGCTTACCGGTTATACTCAAAGACATTTGTTTAAGAAATCATTACAGCTAAACTTCAGGGTAAATAACAATTTAAACTAGTCAATTAGTGAAAAATTGATAAATGCATTTTTAAATATAGTTGTTATATGCACCTGAAATAAGCATTATCTACCTGCAATCCCATGAAGAAAAGATTAGGAGAGTATTTAGCTGCACTATGAGCCAGTCAGGCTTGAGTTCATTGCATAATGTCTGCATTTTTCCACTGGGAGCTAGCTGGCGAGAGCAGGGAGTGAGCAGTGATGGGTGTTCACTGTGAACATGCACCTTCATTGTCTTCTTAGCAGACAGGATTGCGTTCATTTACCTGGCTTCGTTTATGCTGTTGTTGGGGGTTCCAGGTTCATAAAACTGGCTAAAAGGAATTACAAACTTTAATAACATTTAATATAATTGTATCTCAACTATGCATGTACCTTTTTGCCTGGAGTACAGCTTTAACGCACACATCACATTCAACTTAATTAAGTTTTTATGCAGCAGGATAAAGAGATATACTTTTTTGATACGATATTCAAGATAACTCATTCTCACAATTCCCTGCTGCATTTAGCCATCTAAGTAGGTAATGTTTCTCTGCTCTAGCCAAACCAGTGGGTCTCCTGGTGCAGGAATAATACGTAATAGAGGTCACACAGAGAAAGACTTGCCGCTATTTGACAAAACATTTATATGATAGCGGCACTCTGTGTCTACATGGAATCTCCTGCAAGTGAGATATAATGAACAATGAAGCACTCAGGCTCAGAGAAATTAAGGTCACTATTTTATTTGCTGCATGGGCACAGCATTACCATTCCTCCGCTCCAATAAGTATATAAGAGGATGTAAGAATCCAGCAATATTTAGAGTGAAAGTATTTGAATATGAATGTAATTTGTCACACACAGACTATCTATAGTGCTACAGCTGATATCCTTGTCACAGACTGCCATATGTACTCATGTCAGTGTTTTAAGAGATGATAAAGACAGAGTTGCTAAGCATAAAAAGCTCCTGCCATACAAAATATGAAAACATGTCTATTTTAAGGTTATATCACATTCACAATATAATAACATGTAGTAGAATGAAGCATAGTATGTATCATTAAGAAATTAAAAAGCCAACAAACCTGAAGCTCACATACATACACATACACACACACACACACACACATATATACAAACACTGCCTGACCAAAAAAAAAGTCACTCTTGATATTTCATTGGACCGGCTTAGCTTTTAATTACGGCACACATTCGCCGTGGCATCACTTCGATAACCTTACATTTATTTCTGTCCAGAGTTGCATTAATTTTTCACCAAGATCTCGTAGTGGTGATAGGAGAGTTTGACTAGTGTGTAAAGTCTTCTCCAGCACATTCCAAAGTTTCTCAATGGGGATAAGGTTTGGACTTTGTGGTGGCCAATCCATGTGTGAAAATGATGTCTCATGCGCCCTAATCCACTCTTTTATAATTTGAGACCAATAAAACCAGGCATTGTCATCTTGGAATATGCCCATTGTGCCATCAGGGAAGAAAAAATCCATTGATGGAAAAACCTGATCATTCAGTATATTCAGGTAGGTAGCTGACATCATTTTTTCGACACATAATATTGCTGAACCTAGACCTGACCAAGTGAAGCAGCCTCTTATAGCTCTTATCTAGTATACTTGCTTAGCTAAATCCAGGTGTTGACTTTATTTTGGCCAGGCAGTGTATAATGTACTGTACTGTATTTATAATTGTGCATGTAAAGGTTTCAAAAGCTTATGAAAATAATAATAATAGTAATTAAGATGACATTGTTTTTATGGGGAAACCTTTTCCTGCACAGCTGACTTCCTGTATAGTAAGGCACCTGTTCACACCAAGAAAACATAATTTTTGCTTGTTTATACATGTGGGTTCAGCGTGTGTTTTTTTGCACGTTTATGCGTGTTTGGAACATTTTTACGCATGTAAAAACAGGCACACATGAAGACACACATTTTGACTGGCAGCTCAAGAAACATTGCGGTCAATGGACGGATGGACGCAAGAAAATGAGCAACATGCTTTTGCCACGCATTTCCTGGCCTTTTTCATGTAAGTCTATGGGCGAAAAACGTGCTTGAAACTGCCAAAAAAGCCTCATGTACTTTTTTCTGTATTTGGTGTTTTGCTGCTCAGGTGTGAACAGGGGCCATTGAAAATCATTGGATTTGGTGTTGGGCGTTTAAAAGCTGAAAAACACCTAGGTGTGAACCAGGTGATATTTTTACATTGTAGACAGCCTTAGGAAATCCTCCTATAAAACAAAATAGATAAACAGGACACATAGACATTTCCTGTGGTAATTCCAGCTGTTGGCAATATCTGTGAAAATAATAGACATGTGCACCAGCAACAAATTTGTTTAGTTTAGTTTCGTTCTGAAACAAAGAAACATTTTTTTTATTTAGTTTAGTTTAGTTTTTCGGATTCGGATTATGGACGAAATTCGTTATTGGACGAATTTCGTTGCAGCAAAATGACATTAGGGGGGGGAAATTATTATTTTTTTTTTTTTTTCTGCAAAAGATAAAAAAAAAAAAAAAGCCTGAGGTTCCCCCCGATTCATACCAGACCCTTTAGGTCTGGTAGGAATGTTAGGAGAACGCAAAAAAACAAAACATTATCTATTACTCTCCCTGCCCTGGATTAGAACCTGCGACCTTGACAATGGCAAGCCTGTACGCTAACCACTACACTATTGACTCTGAACTTGTAACCATTTCCACAACCACCGGGTCAGAGTTGTGGGGAAGAGGCCCTTGTCCCCATCGGCATGGGGCGCTCGATCGCCCCCCCTTTCCTGCCCTGCCAGGCCAGTGCTCGGATCAAGGGTCTGGTAGGACTGTTAGGGGGGACCCCACATTTTTCTCCCCATTTTTTGGGGCTGGGGTTCCCCTTTAAAATTCCTACCAGACCTTAAGGGTCTGGTATGGATTTTGGGGGGAACCCTTTAGGTCTGGTAGGAATGTTAGGAGAATGCCAATTCAAAAGCAAAGAAAAAAAAAACCTTTATCCTTTACTCACCCTGCCCTGTATTAGAACCTGCGACTTTGACAATGGCAAACCTGTACGCTAACCACTAGACTATTGACTCTGAACCTTTAACTACACAATTGTTGTAGAGGGAAAATGTTGTCATTTTTTTTCCTAATGTCATTTTGCTGCAACGAAATTCGTCCAATAACAAATTTCGGGAAATCGGGAATTTCAGATTCGCTTGCATTCGTCTCAGCTGTAATTCGGAATTCGGTTGCATCCGAATCTCCGAAAATTCGTCCGAAACGAATTTCGGAACGAACCGAATTGCACATGTCTAGAAAATAATGTGGAGGTATTTTCAGAGAACATGAAGGCTGAAAAAAGCAGACTAGGATTGAAACTGTTTGGTTGTTTTTTTTTCCTATATCTTTGGAAGCACCATGTTACACAACATAAAAAAAGCAATGGTATATATTCAAAAATGCAACACATTAACAGGAAACTAACTTTTTTCATAAAATAGCAAATGTGGAGAATGTTTAGTGAATTTCTTGTAGAATTACTTTGTTTAATACTTTTGTTGCTGTGTTTCACACTTTCTTTGATTCTTCTCAGTCTGGGGAAATCTTTTTTCCCACGCCTTTCTCTGATACTGTTATTTTAATTCAAAGTACCGCAGCGCTGAATACTGAAAAATGGCCTGGCCAGGAAGGGGGTGAAACACTATGGCCTTCAAGTGGTTAAAGTGAGTGTCAGGGTTTATGAGGGATACCTTGTTACTAAAGGAATATAAACACATCCCTTAGGAAATATTCAGTCTGCTTATTTTTGTTGTCAGATTAAAGGACATTCTCATGAATCTCTAATAGACTTCTGAGAGAAATGCAGTTCTTCCTGTTACTTTAAATGCGTGTACTGAAGCTCATGAGCTCATGTACTAGAGCCTGATAATAGCTGTGACATTTTGGAACATCCGCCCTGTTAGAATTATGCATTTCACCTGCTTGTTAATGGAAGTGGTCATCTAATAATTTGCTACCTGTTGGCCTTTTATCTTTTTGGTGGGTTTTCTAGGTGTCATTTGTTCATCTGCTGGGTCATTTATACTCCTGTTGGTTGCTCATCATCCAAAGACCTTTTGTTGGGACAACATATTGCTCTGCATCCTCTTGTGTTTCTGGGCCTCTCGCTGCTTTCAGTGTTTCTGCTGCCTTCAGTGTTTCTGCTGCCTTCCCTGGGCTCTCCTGTCCACCTAATGCACTGGCGCTGCTACTTCTACTCCAGGAGCTCCCACACTCAAGGCTAACTAACTGTGTCCCAGTGCATGCACACATGCTTAATGTGCCTTCAGGAATGCTGAGTATGTAGTATGCAACAGTATATATCCTGGCTTTGTTTAAAATACAGTTCATTCCACACCCTGGTTGCACATTGTTGCACGCACTTATGCTAATGGTGTACCCAATTCTGTGTTGTTGTATATTATAACGCTGTATCCCGCCTCTCTTCTTTCTAGTGTGTTTGGTTTAAACGTATCCTTAACAAGATCCAGCCCACGGTTTCTGTTCTTGTCTCACTTGTCTTCCTGCACCTTTGGTACGCTTCCTGAGTCAGAGAGTACACTACCTGTGCTTACCGCTGCTACATGTTTTCTTCCTATAGCTTTCTGTTCTAAAACATGGGGAGGGGACCTCAAAGTACTGACTTTTTGCCATGCTTCTTTTGGCCCATTACGGACTCAGCTCGCCTGCACCTCACTCACATTTCCTTGTTCACCACCTCATTAAAACCAGATCATTTAGCATTACAACTGAAAACACTGAGTTCCCAGACCACGAACATAAAACATAGCGCAAAGGTGGCTGCTAGTGGTGAAGGGCAGTACAACAGTGTTCATCATGTCCTATTAGTGGCAAAACCCTTACACGTCCCTTCTTGCTCAGAATGAGTGAATCAACAAGCTTTCTAAAACAAATTAACCAAAATTTCTTGGACGATGCCAAAAAACTACAGTGTCTGTGCACAGCTCTATAACAGAAATATACAGATATATTGATGAAAAAAAAATTAAACATACTTTTTACCCTCTACTGAAAATAACAGATTATGCTTCGTAAAGGGTAGTGTAAAATTATTATGAAGCTTTTTAATATGAAAGGAGGAATGAATTTATAACCTATAATTATAATCTGTAATAACTGTATCTATAAATACAGTTTGCAGGCTTCTTTTCACCCTGGCTACAAAATAGTAAAAATTAGTACAGAAATTGCCCTGAGCAGCTTTAGAAATAAGCAAAGTTGTCATAAACAATATTTCACATGAAGAAAAAGACTGCAGAGTATCAAGTTCCACCCTTAATAATAGGCCCCAATGTGTGAAGCTAGACATTGAGGCAGAGCATGGACAGAATTTGACAGGCATAGGTTTTTTGGCAGATATAATCCATGATATGCGGTCATGCAGGACTCAAAAGTGCAAAAGTCTCACAAAAAGCTTACCTTGCTGTTAGAAGAAATGTAAAACTACAGTAGACATTTATGTCTTCCTTTTATTATCATTATTAAATAAAAATGCATTAAAACATTTACATTTGTCCTATCCAACTCATATAACTATAGCAACACACTGCCAGTAAAGCTTAAAATGCAATGAAAGGACAGGGAATCCCCACAAAATGCCCATTTATCACTTTCATTTTAATACATAAGTCTTTCTGTCTGTGCTTAGTTCCACTTGAACTGTTCCTTTAACAAGCTGTGCACCGCAGAACGATCAAATAATACAAAACACCAGCATCTCTAATTCCTCTACAAAACATTTTCGTTACAAGCATCATATTTATAACAAATATGAGAAGAAACAGAGTGAAAAGATGTTATGTAATTTTACCTGGGGCACGTTCACCATTAAAGCTGCATCCAAGCTCTGGCTGTCCTTAAAGCTTTTGTACTTCATTGATTTGCTGTCTTCCGAATGTGATGCTGTAAGAAGATGATCTGTATTGAATGCATTAAAAGAGTATACATAGCTGTCAACTGCTTAATTGTCCTGCCACACTCGTGTTTTCCCCAGACAACAGCGCAGTCTATCATGAGCAACGTGCTGGATGAAAATAATGGATTTTACAGATTGGTAAAACAATTAATATGTACAAACTTTCACACTTCAAATACAAATTTAGCAACTTGTGCTTTTTGGTTCAGAACATTAACAATGCTCTGCAATACTTACTGTCAAACACAAAGAAGAGAGCAGTTTGCATCACTGCAAAACTAATTGTCCTAATTAGTGTATTAAAAAAGATTGTGTCCGTAACAGTTAAACTGGCTCACTTTCTCAGGTATAAATGTTTATTTCCTGTGGTTCATTTGACATAGCACACAACATGAAAGTTAAAAAGGGAAATGGGCTTCTTTGACACAAAAATTGTTACCTTATACTTCTGGTTTATACATGGAAAAAGGTTTGAGAAATTAAATAGCCATTTAACAAGTAGAGCTCTTGTTCCTAAATGGGATTTTTCTCAGTCATGCTTCTTGTAACTGTAATTAGCAACTGCATAAATATGTAATCAATATCAGTGGCACAGAAAGAGGTCGGAAAGGTTCCAGCTGCAATTGCATTTGTTTTTACAGGCCTCCAGCCACCAAACAGAGATGTAACAACGATGGAGACTAAATATTTAACCTTGTGATGGGTAATTAGGCTAGCCTCACTTGCTCTACCTACTTCAACCAAGTATTACTATTGATGTGGTCAGTGATGGATCCCTACTTGGTTGATCATAAAACTATTTCCACCAATACAACTATAATAGTAACTGTTCCTCTTTATTGAGAGGGAGAATCAGTGAAAATCACATTACGTACCAACATTTCAGGATTGTGCAGGGACCCTTCCTCTGTTTGCTTCCCTGCGCAGTTCCAAAAGATTGGTAGCTGAAATACTTCTCGTTGATGTTTGAAGAATAATGAACATTTTCCTTTTAAAGGTGTGCTGGTGAGAATATTTCATGCTTGGATTGAATAGACAGCACCCTTCCTTCACTACAGCACCCTGATAATATCGGTCATTCGCTTATTCACCTGTATGGTGTACAACTTATTCCTTGCATTGCAATTGGGGCAAGTCACATGACTCCCCAGAGTCCCAGGCTCCTAGAGGCAGGCCTATACCTGCCCCTGCCACTTCTGCTAAACCTTGTGCATACCTTCCATGCCCTTTTCTTCAAGCTCCAACGTGGCTTCATTGCCCAGCATAATCACCAGTGCATGTCGTCCCTTTGACATTTTTACCGCGATTTTGCCGCAACTGGAAAAAATTTTTTCATTTTGTTTTAGCTTAAAATGGTCTCACAGGTGCATTCCATGCATTTTTGATGTGTTTTGATGAGTTTCAGGGCACTGCAGACCAGACAAATTAGGACAAGCAGTATTTTTCTAGTCTGGTCTGGAACGGACTGTGCTGGTGGGAGCAGAGGCCAGAAATACCACAGGGATAAATTGGGATGCAATTTGGGTCTGGAAACAGTCTGGTCTGGTCTGGAGGTAATCTGCATGTGGTGTGAATGGGCTCTTAAACAGTGCTTGTTGGCTTCACTGAAAAATTTTGATCTAACAATTTTTTTATTATTACATTATTGTAATGTATTTAGACTGATTCTTTTATGTGAAAACCAAAGAGGTGTACTTTAGTTTGCACACAATGTCAGTTAAAGCAACCTCACAAAAGTGTTCCTATTTAACTCTTTGTTAACACTTAGGGGTCTATTCACTAAGCTGTCGAAGGATCTAGCCATAGCTTCGGCTGATCCTTCGGCTAGCTTCGGCCCCAGGACCCCTTGGGTTCAGTAGAACCGAAGGGCTGCAGTAAGGGCTATTCACTATAGCCCGTACAGCTCCCAAAGTTGGCCGAGCGGCTCAGTCGAGCCGAAGGCATATGCCTCGGCTCGACTGAGCCGCGGTGAAAGCCCAAGCTGGCCGAATGGCCGGCCATTGCCTGGCCGACAGCCTGCTTCTGACAGCTGGGCGGAGCCAGCCGTCATCTCACGGCTGGCCTCGGCCACTTTCAGAGAGATCAGCATCTCTGGTTACCAGGTAACCAGGGACGCTGTCATTATTAGCTATTGCACCCGCCCACTGCTGCTGTCAATTAGCAGAGGGGGACCTGCAGTTCTCCATCAGGTCCCCCTCTGGTGATTGACAGCAGCAGAGGGCGCGTGCAATAGCTAGTTTGCTATTGGCTATTGCAAAGTGAAATAGCCAATAGGAAACTGTGTTTGAAGGGCCAGTACCTCTGAGCGACCAGAGGTACTGAGCGACCAGAGAGGGCGCTGTGGAGGTATGCGCCACTTTACGGTCAGTGAAAAGGGACCCCCCCAGGCATGTTTCATTTTAAGTGATGTTAAATCACTGTTACACTCCAGCGACGCACGGACATTTTTTTGAGAGAATGAGTCATGGCTTATTCATATGTAAATAGCGCCGCCCATTCATATGTAAATATCACAGTTGACACTATTTTCAGTGGGGGGCCAGTAGCCCCTATCTTCATTTTGGTTGCCCCCGTCTGCCTGACATCCTGTGTCCAGGTTTTCAAAATCCGGACTGTCCGGGTGAATCCTGGACAGGTGGGAACCCTAAGGATGACTGGTCTGGTATCTGCCCCTTCCTACAACCCTGCTCTCTGTACCAGCTGTGTACAGCACAAGGATGATGTCACTGCTACTTTTACAAGGTAAGAACTAGGACATTTGGTGCACATAAAGTGGAAAATATATCCTTTGTGGTTACTGAGGAATGTATTTAGAAACGTTGTTTGTGCCTGGAGTTCATCTATAAACACAGAACCATGTCTGAAATCTTACACATCAAATACCTAAACGATACCTTAGCTGAATTGATAAAAGTGTATGTAAACTCTTAAGATTGTAGGCTCCATGAGGGCAGGGACTGATCTGCATGAATTGTCTGCGCTATATAAATAACGATAATAAATGTAAACGCTTACAGCATAATCTAATGCAGAGCTGTGCTGGCAAATCTGGACAGCTTGCAGCTACGAGTGCTCAGATTCCGAAAACACACGTCCTGTTCTAGGGTGACAACACTGCACCTCCATACATACAGTAACAGGGTTATTTACAAAAGGGTGAAGAGTTTGGAGAAGTGGACAATCTAGGACAACATAGCTGAACTGGAAAGTGAGCTGAATTGGAGATTTTTTTCAAATCAAATCGGCTATGTTGTCCTAGAATGTTCACTTCTCCTTAGGGTCCCCACACACCTTCCGATTATCGTACGAGAATCGCGGGAAATCCCACGATCGTACGATGATCGTAAGGTGTGTGGAAGCCGTGCGACCTCTACTACTGTAAGGTCGCACGACTTTAAACTTACGGACATGTTCGAAAACCCGCCGAGCATCGTACGATGTTCGGCGGGTTTGTGGCATGTCCATACGATAACAACCGCACGGGCCAGTGTGCGCAAGCGCACACTGCCCGTTCGGCATTGCGGTCATCGGAAGCCCGTCCCTCAGGGGGCGTGGCTTGCGATCATCGCAAGTACGATCTGCCTATGCAACATAGGCAGATCGTACGTTTTTTTAAGTACCTTACAACCATCGCAAGACAGAAGTCTTGCGATGGTTGTAAGGTGTGTGCCCGGCCTAACTCTTCACCCTTCTGTGAATAGACCTGTCAGTGTTGTCACGCTAGTACAGGAAAGTGTGTTATTACTGGAATCACCATGTGAAAAGAAACGGGGGAAAAAGAACCCTAATGCAGCCACCATACATAAGGACTAGTAAGCTGCTAAATATTCAATTTTTGTTATTAATTTTAAGAAAAAAAAATGCATTTTGGTCCTCACAGGCACTCACAGACAGGGAAAAATCGCGCCGTCATGTTCTTGGTAGTATTGCCATTTAGGGAGACGCAGACAGCGTCTGTCGGCCATCTTTGATCCGGGCACCCAAATAATGGCGATGCCAGCTATCGATTCAGGCAGCTTTTTGTCTACACCTTTACTCTAATGATACGCGTTATGTTTTGTTTTTTTAATAGCATGGGGATATGAATTAACACGAAGCCGCCGCCTACAAGACTTCCAGCTATCGCCTCCCTATGTAGGCAGGTATCGCGAGAACGTAGCTCCAACACGATTCCGCCTCGCAGCGCCAGAGGGGGGCCTCACGGTCGCTTTTTTTAGGTGTCCTCATAAAATGCCTGCTCGCGATGTTTTTCTTTTCCCAAGATGGCGTCGATGAGGGAGAGCGACACCGGCCTGTGGCTTCACAACAAGCTGGGCTCGGCCGACGAGTTCTGGGCTCCCCCCAGCATCGCCTCGCTGCTCACCACTACCGTCATCGACAACGTGCGCCTGTGTTTCCACAACCTGTCCTCCGCCGTCAAGCTGAAGCTGCTGCTAGGGATACTGCACCTCCCGCGCCGCACCGTGGACGAGGTGAGAGTCCCCCTTCTGCTCCTCCCCTGCCAGGGCGGGGGGTGCTGGACAGCGACACGGGGAGGGTGTGGTGGAACTGCAAGGCCCAGCAGGGCAGCCTGACACGTAACTCCCCGTGGACCACAGAGCTTGCACTCTAGTCCATAGAGTGTGCAGGCCAAGAAGAAATTTTATTCTATGGGACTCATTCATATCTGAGCAAAATGTTACACCAAAGAACTACAGGGGCAGGATTGCACGTTTTTGGCCCCCATGAATCTTAATGGGAGCGCCTGAAAATGCACCGGAGAAGGCAATGCTCAACCTAGCCTGGTGTGTTGTGTATTGAAATCAATGGAAACGCATCCTAGCTCATGTCATGGAGTATAAATGCACATTAATGCACACCGATGCATGCTTTTCAAAGCATTTTGTACTGAATCTCAATGTGCATAATCACGCACGCTGACATGATGATGTCTCGATGTGCGTTTCGGTGCATTTCCATTGACTTCAGCTAAATTTGCCTCAAGCAGAAAGTGCCAACGTTGGTCTATGTTCACCCCTTTGCAATGCGTTTACACATGGGGTGTTGATGTGCGTTGTCAGGGTAGCCTGTTTAAATCCCTTTCACACTTTTTTTTTTTTATTTGAAAGGCACCATGACGCACGGCGGTGCACTTAAGCATGTGCATTAAGAGTTAATGGCACCACAACATGTGATTGAAGACTGAGGGCCTGTTCCTATCAGCGCAGAGGTGGGCAACTCTGGCCCAACAGCTGTTGTGGAACTACAAGACCCATGAGGCATTGCAAGACAGTTGCAGGCATGGCGCCCAGCAGAGGCATGTTGGGATTTGTAGTTTAAAAGCACAGTTGAAGGTCTGGAGTTTGCCCACCCCCTAGTCTAGGTCAGTAGGGGGCAGTACCTCCACCACCCCCCGGACTAGGTCAGTAGGGGGCAGTACCTCCACCACCCCCCGGACTAGGTCAGTAGGGGGCAGTACCCCGACCCGTCCCTCCCCCCCCGGTCTCAATCAGTTGTGGGCAGTACCCCCCTTATCACAACACAAGGCGATGTTTGTTTTACTTTTTTGTTTGTTTTCGTAACTTTATTTAAATATAAAAGTGACGTTCATTCCTATACACTGCAGCAGGGTGAAAACAGATGGCGAGCACTCTTGCGTTGCGGAACAATGTAGCCTGGCTGCGGTTTTCCTCAACTCAATGAAGGCAGGACACATAGAAAATAATTTCCTTTGCAGTGACTGGTGTTGATCAAGTGCAGTGCAAAATCAGTCATTGCACATAATGTGAATGGGCCCCAGAGGATCACAGAAGGCTGCTGATTCTTCCTCCTGAATGTATGGGTTGTATACTCGGATCAGAAAGCATCGAAGAATCAGCTGGATGCCCGGGCAGCATTTTTAGAAGAAGTAGCCAGAAATGGCAGCCTGTGTATTTCTGTGTGTCTGCATGACCTGGCCGGACTTCACTAGGATTTGGCTGCAGTCACTCAGCGGTCATCATTTCAGGTTGTTGGTAATGATGAGTTCTGGGACCCCTTTTGTGAGAGCTGATTATTTCTCATCTTATGGTGGACCTTTCCATCACTACACAAGTCTGCATGGATACTAGGAATGCACAGATACCAGTTTTTCGGTATCAAGTACCGATTTTATATATGTATATGTACTTCCGCTAGCATGGAGCCGGCAGCAAGTAATGACCCACTGACCAGCTTCCTGATTGGCCAGGAAGCCAGCTCCATGTTCTCTCGCGGCACTGCTGATTAGTGGGCATCTCCCTCTGAGCAGAAGTTCCGGTATCACAGCATTTGGGCGAGTACCAGTACTCGCCCAAATACGCTGCATCCCTAATGGATACATTCTGACATGGCACAATGTTCGGCAAAAGCTTTTTTTGTTTTTTTAAAAGTTCTCCTTTTAACCAGTTGACATCCGCGGTGTTAAACCCCCTTCCCATCCAGGCCATTTTTCAGTATTCAGCGCTGCGGTACTTTAACTGACATTTATTCCGTCATGCAGCGCTGTACGGAAATTAATTTTATACCATTTTTTTGAGCACAGATAGAGCTTTCTTTTGGTGGTATTTAATCACCACTTGGGGTTTTATTTTTAATATATTAAGGAAAAAGTACCGAAATTTTACAAAAAAATAAACTGTTTCCCCTATATTTAATGATAAAACATTTATTATTACCAAATTTTTTGGTAAAATATAAAAGACGGGGTCACGTCGGGTAAAAAGACACTAAACATGTCAAGCCTTAAAATTGCGTGCGCGCGTGAAACCTCAAAAAACGATAATACCCAAAATTGGCCCTAGGCGACGCTTTAAAAGCTTTTACCGCTCATCAGTTTAGTGTTATCAGTGATTGATGGCCCTAAAATTATTGCTCTCATTGTGACGTTCACGGTGATATGTAACACGTGCGGCATAATTGGAGCAATCGTTTTTGCGTGTAGGTGCATTTTTGCGCATCTATTTGGTGGTGGGGGACTTTTAAAACATTTTGTGGGATTTTTTTGTTTTGTGTGTGTACATTTTTATTTATTTTGTGAGCAATTTTTTAAAGTTTTTTTTTTTACACATAACTTTATTGTTATCACATAGGGTGCTCCTATGTGATAACAAATTACAGATACAGGTCCCCTTTATGGAGACATCAGGGGTCTCTAAGACCCCTAATGTCACCTAGGGACCCTCTGAGAAGCTGATGAAGCACAGATCTGCTTCATCAGCTTCTCTCTGGTTTCTGTACCGGAGAGTGACAGAGGGATGCGAAAGTGAAAAAAACTCCCCCACCCCCACGTTTACACGCCTATAAATGTAATTTTGCCGGTATGGGAAGGGAGTTTAACACCGCGGATGTCAACTGGTTAAGCTGGCCATACCCTAGTATATTTCCAAATGCCAGGGTAGCAGATGGATGCCCGTGTTTAATTCCTCTTCTATCTTCATTTTCTTAACAAGCTGTACAATTCATGGCAGTAGTTATGGCATTTCATATTGTCCAAGGCAGTGTGAGATGGAATTCACCGTTTGGCCAGAAATTGAGATAATCGGACTGTAGAGAAGTGTAATTGTGAAGGGAAGAAGCACAGCTGGAGGTATGATGTTTTCCCTTGCCCCAAGGGTAGCTCTACATGAGTTTGTTTGCTGAAAGTGTACTTTGTTTGCAGTGCCTGCTTTCCTTGAATTATTTCATGTGTCAGAGCACTTAACGACACTTTCATGTTCTGCTGGTTAAAGAAAACTAGTTTACATTGGAACCTGATAGTGTGCCGAATGACAAAATGGGAGCAAACATAATTCCTGGGATTGCATGCATTGAACTACAATGGCAGCGCTTTGATCTGTCCTGTGAAAGAAAAAGGTGCTGTAATAATAATGTTCCGTATTACAATACATTTCCAGCGAAATTTCTGAACTCACCGGCCACTTTTAGTTACACATATTCATCTGCTTGTTAAATACAAATATCTAATCGGCCAATCACATGGCAGCAACAGAATGTGTTTAGACATGTAAACCTGGTAAAGACGATCTGCTGAAGTTCAAACCGAGCATCAGAATGGGGTAGAAAGGTGATTTGTGACTTTGAGCATGGCATGGTTGTTGGTGCCAGATGGGCTGATCTGGGATTTTCACACACAACCATCTCTCAGGTTTACAGAGAATGGTCCGAATAAGTGAGTGGCAGGTCTTTGGGTGAAAATACCTTGTTGATGTTAGAGAATGGCCAGACTGCTTCAAGCTGATAGAAAAGCAACATTAACTCAAATAACCACTCGTTACAACTGAGGTCAGCAGAAGAACATCTCGAAACGCACGACACATCAAACCTTGATGTAGATGAGCTACAGCAGCAGAAGACCACACCGAGTGCCACTCCTGCCAGCTAAGAACAGAAAACTGAGACTACAATTCGCACAGGCTCACCGAAATGAGACAATTGAGGATTCAAAAACATTGCCTGGCCTGATGCGTTTCGATTTCTGGTGTGACATATGGATGGTAGGGTCAGAATTTGGCATAAACATGAAAGCATGGATCCATCCTGACTTGTGTCAATGGTTCAGGCTGGTGATGGTGTGGGAGATATTTTCTTGGCCTGCTTTGGGCCCCTTAGTACCAATTGAGCACTGTTTAAATATCACAACCTCCCTGAGTATTGTTGCTGACAATATCCATCCCTTTATGACCACAGTGTACCCATTTTCTGATGGCTACTTCCAGCAGGATAACGCTCCATGTCATAAAACTGAAATCATCTCAAACTGATTCATTGAATATGATGAGTTCTCTACTCCAATGGCCTCCACAATCACCAGATCGTAATCCAGTAGAGTACCTTTAGGATATGGTGAAATGAGAGAGTCGCATCATGGACGTGTAGCCGACAAATCCGCACAATGCTATTGTGTCAATATGGACCAAACTCTCCAAGGAATGTTTCCAACACCTTGTTGAATCTGTCACAAAGAATTAAAGGCGTTCTGAAGAGAAAAGGGGGGGTTCAACCCAGTACTAATGAGGTGGCCAGTGAGTGTATATCCAAACTGGATGGGCCAGATGTTAATAGATGCTTGAGAGGAAAATCACCTAGACCAGGGGCCAGGCTGCCAATGATTCTTAAAATTTACAGCTGGCGTCTTACGTTTGAGGTTTTCTCTAATTGTTCTCAATTGAGCTGGCTCCCTAAAAACTAAAACTGTATCTTGAATTCCATATGCAAAAGAAGAGCGTGTATACTGTACACTTCTGGACAAAGATAAAACGTCAAACCCTGCGACATCGCAGCTCATTCCGTAGATGATGCAACACCCACATATTCCATTGTACCCCCAGTAGCTGGGTCTCTGTCTTGCAACCCCCCCCTTCCCCTCCCACATGGGCTTAAATAGACCCTAAACTCTGGAGTTAAATCTTAGAAAATACATTCAAGTACTTTAACCATTAACAAAAATGTACATTATTTGTGTATCACTCGGCTG